AAAAAATAACGGCAGCGTTATTTTTTTATGCGGCACAGATTGGGGCATGGCGCGTGTTGAGCCTATGGGAAGTACGTTCTTTCCCTTCTGAATAGTGTCTGCACGTACGTGAGACTAGTCATGTTCGCTAGCGCATTAGCGCTGCGAAGAAGTTTGAATATCCATCGCGAACTATGTGTTTAGATAACATTCCTCTTCGTTTAAGTTAGCTAAGTTTCATTGACTAATTATTGTGATGTTCTCCTTATTGACGTGCTGCCTCCTCTTCAGATTTCCAATTTCATTTTAATTGTTGATGTAATGATTTTCCATACGGTAGTGGATTACATGTTAACACTATTAAAAACAGACCTCGACTACTATACTGTCTAGTACGCACACGACCACTATTAGTCTGTAAATCAAGACCCCTTTTTAAAAAAAGCCCCAATCTGTGCCGCATAAAAAAATAACGCGTCCCGGGTCAAAACAGCTGGGCAGACACAAGGCCTTTATTTTGAATCGTGAAGGGTCGATAAACGCGACATCCCGCAAATCACGATCGTATAGTGGGGTACGATAGTGGGGTTCGATAGTGGGGTACGATATGTACATATCTAGTAGCAAGCCTAGATAAACGCGCTCTATTTGTGGAAATATAAAAGTGCTTTATCACAATAAAGAAAGCATGCAATGTAACATAATCCTATCTCCACTTGATAGATTCAAGCCTTATTACTTGTCATTGACTTAAAGATGAATAGATTAGAAAAAGAAGATTTCATTTGTTGAAATATAAATGCACTTTACTTCATAAGTATGACTATTTCATACACTGAAACCTTCTAAATTGTCATCAGATTTAAGATGGAAGGAATATGTATTTATTCCCTCAAAAGCTCAAACTTTCATGATGGTTTTCTGAAGTGAAGAGTAAGAAAGGGTTTAAGTACAACATGTAATAGTGTTTCTCAATGTGAGTTCATTTTGGGAAAAATCCCACAAAATAAAATAAGGTTTTGATATGAGCCGAATGATTGAAATCAGAACAGTACTGAGGAATATCACTCCATCATTGATTGTATAAAACTGTTATGAGATTGTAGGTGAACATGATATAGCAGAAGCACTGCAATGAAGTTCTGCAATTCATTCCTTTAGCAAGCAAACAATATAAAGACAGGACTCGTTGTGGAAACACATTTCTGTAGGTGTTTAAATATTTTCTTTCTTTCTTTCATATTTGAAGGACATTGATACACTTTCATGAATTATATAAAGTAGTACAGGATGTGAAATCTACCATGATAATGCAATGCCTATATTTAATATCAATCTTAATGAATATTCTGTGACTTACAAAAATTATCAGAGCATGCATTTCGTAAATAAGTTAGTCATTGTTTATAAAAGCCAGCGAAGCAAGAAAGCTAGGTAAACATTTAGAGAGAAGTCTAGTCACCTCATTGACATTCCTTCATTGTTTGTTGAGCAAATACACCATAGTGAACATTTCCTCAGACATCATATAGTACTTAACCTCATGTTTAGTCCCACGTATATGAAAGGTGAGTAGATATGTAATTCTGTATACCAGGTAAAAGAAATCATACAATTTAATTAACAAGAACTTGCCATTTGTATAGGCCACCGCCTGTCTTTAAATCCAACGAGTCCCTACCCTAAATAGGAGAAAAATCGCATACAAATTACGGTATATTACAACTTTAGAGTATGATTTTATTTCTACATGTAGTTAATGTTCAGAATAGTCATATAAATTGAAATTGCTGGGTATTTGGTTTCGTTGGCTCCCACTCCTGGAAATGTCTGGTCAGTTGCACCTGCACCATCCCTGACTCTCCCCCTGCCCCCATTGTTTATTTGTTAATATTTTTTACAGTATGCAAGTTAGATCCACCCCCCTGCATCGAAGCTATAGTCATAGTTTATCAAATTGTCATCAGAAATTACAGTCTTCTAGAGGATTTGGATAATATGAGAAAAATCGAGTGAGCATAGAAGGAATGAAATTGGTCGATGCTCACCAGGGATCGTCTTGCCGTCGGTGAAAAGTTTTCCATTGATTTTTAGGCTTTTCCCAAAATCCATGAAATTAGTATCTTTATTAGCGTCTCCATTTTCACAGCAAGTGCAAAGGCATGGAAATTGATTTTTGTTTTAAGTGGAAACGTGATGCTCGATGATAAAGGTCATGCATTTGGATGGGAAAGAGAAAGATATTTTATTGCCAAAAAGTTTCTAAATCAAAGTAAGCACAGATGTATATTTGTAGGAAAGATCAAATCAACCTGCATTGTGCAGGTCTGTGGAAGTATGCTGATGAGCTGACAATGCTGACAATAATTGTTTATTTCCTTGACAAACATGTATCATACAAATTTCAGTGAAGAAAAAAAAATAGGCACCTCCTGGTTTTTAGTGTCTTTTGTTTGGTAACATTGCACCTTTCAGTCTATGACCTCCTTTCCTGTACCTGTTAATTGACTACTTGTAGATAATTTTTAATACCATTATTATTTAGTTTTTCTTTGCTCATAACACTACATGCATGACATATGAGATTAATGAGATTTAATTCCAATGTTGTAGTCTTCTTTGAATTACCGGTATGCATATGTAGCGGTCCGGTAGTAAATGTATGATATTTATTCAGTGGATTTTTTTTTCTTCCATTGAATCTATAATATAGTATGAGATGAGGTAGAAGCGAGATAAGATATTGTATCATCCCATCGTAAGTGATATATCAGGTGGTATGATACCCCAAGGTGATACTGAGGCCACAGCTAGCACACCCAATCCAAAGGTGGGCCAAGATGATTGGATATTGATTACCCGCTTAATCCTGAATAATCTATGACTTAGAGGCAGATGGATTAATGTGCCATCCTGCCCTCCCACAGCCACCTCCTTAACCCCCATCACAGCCCCCCTGAGGGGGTGTAACCTCATCCGGTATCCTCTTTCACATCCATCCTACAAACGTCCTGGTGTTGCCATGGTAACTGGTCTGGTTGCCTTGGCGACTGCTGGCGTGGACAAACCCAGGCCATATGCCCGCTTGACATTCTAATGAGACGGGAGGTTTATGGACATACACGTAGAGCTGGCGGACATGAAATGGTTACGACTATCCTGCCCATCTCGTGATTTTTTATTTTTTGGGGGGTAGGATCATATCAATTTGCCATGATGTTGCTTCTTCTCTTTCATTTATTTCCATCCATACGTCTTATAATTATACATTTTTTAGTTGCTTCTAATTCCTGTACCCCCTCCCCCTTCTATAATTTTCATTTCTCATTCATTTCTTCATATTTCTTAGTGCTTGTATTCCTTTATCTCTTTCCCCCTCTCTATCCTGTTCTCTTTCCCTTCTTGGAGCATTGTACTTACATGTATAGAGTTTTTAATATATTGAAGTGTCTCGAACAATATGATTTGGAAGATATGAGTTTTATATAAGAATCCATTGTACATGTATGTGTAGTTATACCATGAGTCCTTTTTTAAAAGTTTGTAACAGGGTATAACAGCTTGAGTGCAGGCCTGTTGATCTTGCACCCTTTGCGTCATGAAAGGAGAAGTTTAATAAAGTTTAGGCAAATCAGTGTTGGCTTTTCCAAGCAATATTTGCCAAGCCTGACAAATGTTTGATTTGGGCTATTGAAAGAAGGTTCCACGTACATGTAGGTACAATGTGAGTCTGCCACTACAGCATATACAGTTACCAACTAAATTATTCACACACTTACCAATTCTTTAATTTTTTAAAGTATGTGAAAAATTAATTTGTCCCAATTTATGTTTCCTGAGAACATGACATATGACATTGACTGTCCCCAAGACCATACCTCTTGAATTACAGAAATGCCAATCTCTCATAACTTTCAAGAAGTCCGTCATAAAACGTCTTTCCTGATTACTTTATATTGTTCTTTGTCGTACTCGTATTGTACATGCACTTACCTGTATTTACCTGCAGATGGATCCTTTGAAATAAATTTTAAAACATTGATGGCACTAATTTTTTTTAAAGAATATGAGAACTTCATCCCTGGTTTTTCAAACATTTACATGTACATATGTACAGGAGATGCATGTACATCAAAGAAAAAAAAAAGGAGAAAAACAAATTTGTGTGAAGCACTCATACAAGGTGCAGTTTGAATTGTCTCTTCATGTGTTCTTTTTCCTTCTAAGCTCTGATTTGAAAGGAAAGGGTTGAGATTGGAACCTTCTTCAGTGATTTATATCCATGTTGATACATGTATAATGTCGAGAGACATGCAATGTGGTATAAGGATTAATCCATCACCAGCGACATTGCGAGACGATAAGCAATCCCTGAAGTGAATCTCAACAAATGAATATACTGGAGAATTGATCTGAGTTTCCTACGTCTAAAGGAGTAGTGAGCCTTACTGTGTACTGATTTCAGTGGGTTTTGATTAACGAGAGAGAAGAGAAACCACTGTCACATCAAGAATCAAAGCCTCTTCATATGAGGGGAACTATTATCAATAAAGAAACATATAATTACTGTATTGCAAAAGGAGGGGGGCAGGGCTACATACAAAACACATGCCATGTGAAGAATGTGTATTCTACATAATTACATAATTTCAATTTTCTGTTGTACACAGAAAACCTTTTTTTTTTTTAATTGTTTTTTTTTTGTTATAATTATTTTTTTTCTTTTTTTTCTTTCTTCAATTTTTTTTTATTTTTTAAATAATTCTTTCTTCAATATTCGACTTCAAACACATTTGTTTTGAAAATCCTTGCAAAAATGTGTCCTCCTTCACATTATGATACAATTTAAGTGACATTTTGCTATCAAATTTTTGGGGCTCCCAACACTTAAGAGGGGCCTTAAAGCAGCTAGATTTGTAAAGGTGGACCTGTGTGCTATACAAGTAGCCACTATTATTATTATCATTATTATATATGCCTAATATCTAAAACTTATATCTCTCCCCTTTTCGTGCCTACAGCTGCTGTGGATGCATGCCTGTCTCAGGGACTGAAGCGACGAGCAGTGGGTCTCTTCAAGGGAAACAACTACACCTTCTCACTCCTGAAACAGCTGTCCAAGAACTATGCACCCGCTCAAGAAGTCCTCCAGAAGGTTCATGAAATTGAACTCAGATTAGAAGCCAACAAGTAAGTCACTTCCTTCTATTTTTCCTTCACTTATCATGTCATTTTCTCGTTGGGAATTGAGGATGAAAAGAAAAATGATAGGGAAAGAGGGAAGAGAGAGAGAAAGAGAAGGGGTGAGGGAAAGGGTAAGAAAGACACACAGAGAGAGAGACAGAGACAGAGAGACATACAGACATAGAGAGAGACAGAGAGACAGATAGAGAGACAGCGAGAGACAGAGAAAGAGAGAGAAAGAGAGAGAGAGTTACAAAAAAGGCTGTCCATTTACAATGTGGATTAGAAATATGTTCAGAAATGGATATACAATACGACTCCATGATGTTCATCTAATCACAAGGAATCGTCGGTGATAGGCTAGCCTACTACATGATTGTCTTTGCTACTTTTAGCTCTTGTCCTAACCCCACTTTGACTTTTCCTCAACCCATTGGCCACATGAACCGAATGTCCCCTGTATTGAGCCTGTGGGAAATGGAGAATTCAGTAGTCATTGGGTTAAACTCTTTTCAATGTATTTCAGAAGGAGGTACATGAGGAGTGTGTGCTCACTGTGAGGGTTCAATCACGCCATGCACTCTCATTAAGTGATTCTCATGTGATGGATTAAAAGTGAGAAATTGATTTGTGCTAAGTTCATATCTAGACAAGGTGATTGGATACGTAATGTACCAATGATTATGCTGTTGTATAACTCCAGGTGCTTCAGTCAGCAATGTTATAGGGAGATTGGGAATTTGGGGTTTGGGAGAATATGTTAGAAAAGAAAGTGAGAGATGGGGATCAAGAGAGATGTAAAACGGAGAGAGAGAGAGAGAGAGAGAGAAGGGGGCAAACAAAGAGAGACAACAGACAGATACAGGAATGGACATAAGAGAGAGATGAGAGAGAGAGAGAGAGAGAGAGAGAGAGAGAGAGAGAGAGAGAGAGAGAGATGTGAAACAGAGAGAGAGAGGCAGACAGAGGGACAAACGTCTACAGAGACGGGAATGGACATAAGAGAGAGATGAGAGAGAGAGATGTGAAACAGAGAGAGAGAGGCAGACAGAGGGACAAACATCTACAGAGACGGAAATGGACATGAGAGAGATGAGGTAGAGGAAATGTGTTTACAGAGACAATACATTCATCGTTCTTTGAAAGAGAAGAGGAGAGGGAGAGAGAGAGAGAGAATGCGTTAGATGAGATAACATGATAAATCATGGAATTTTTGAATAAAATGAGTAAAAAATGGTATTACTGTGTAAATCTCTTGTAAAACCTTCCCGGGAAATTAATCAAATCTTAATCCCCTTTCCACTGATAGACTGGGTGGATGAGCAAACTATGAATATTGTCTCCGGTCGTAGACCCCATCCATGTAACATAATGGATTGAGGGGAGAGGGGAGGGGTGTGAAGTGATCATTGAAAGAAAGTATGCAGAAGCAAAGAGGGCGAAATGCAAATACAAAATACAGAAAAGTTCTGGGAAAACTCTGAAGAAAGTTAGGATTGTTGAATAAACAATAAACACTGCACATAAGCTTAACTTCAGCGGTTAAATTTTGGGCAGGTTACTCTAGTACCGGGGGTGTTTCATCAATGTTGAAATTGATTTTTTAAATAATTGTTATCGCCAAAGTAGTTATAGCTTATAATCTATTCTAGTGAGTTGTTTCTTAAGATTGATTTTATTTTCAGATCGAAGCAAGATGGTCTTGAATCAAAAGTGGTCGCTAAAGCAAGTTATTTGTATATTGCACCGTTGCCCTGTTTCCTTACAAAATATGTTTTTATAAACTGAACAATCCCTTTCTTTAAAAGTGACATGTTGGCAGCTCTCAATGATTGAACACGTTTTTATTCAAAGAAACGTAGTTACAATACCATTCAACAGCATTTTTTATGGAAAATAACACAAACCGTAAAACAGGCAAAATATGTCTTTTCACCTAAAAATATGTTTTTTCAAGTAGGCATGTGCCGTGTGAAGTGCAGTTTTTGCAGCATTAAAAAAAAAGTGTTAAAATCAGAGATCAAATCAAGTGTGAACAGTGCTTATGGGTTGTTCATACACAGTATACAGTAGCAGCTGCTTTCTTAATGGGAACATGTGCTATGTTCACATCAGCATTAGATCTCTGGTGCAAGGAGGAGAGATGGGGGGGGGGGGGTGAGGAGAGAGGCAGTGTTGCACTGTATATCAGTATGTGCATTTACAAGTTTTTAATAAAACTGATGAGTTTTTGCTGTGATTGTTTAATTCAATTAAATTTAGACTCAACACATAAAGTGCTGGTGCATGTGGGTCCCCAAATTTTAACCTTTGACCTTGATTTCTTGGTTGAATGGGTTTCATGCACAAAAAAGTCTAATACATACATGTGGGTGCATATACCTATACCCCTGTGACTATTGTTTATGTGGATTGTGGAGGCAGGGGGGGGGGGGAGGAGATTGATGATGGGGCTGGGAGATTGCATTCATCATTGAGTCTATTTATAGCAAATTGAAGAGGATGATGTTGTAAAGGCGATTATAATGCAGCATGGAAGCCGATCGAGCATGGCTCATTGATGGGCTGCCATGACGATTACTACCACTTGACATTTCCCAGGTCTAACACAATACGGTCAAATTGGAGATGGGATGAGGTCAGACAGATGAAGAGATAAGAAGAAAGAGTTAACTCCGCTCAGAGTCTAAAAGGCTATAACGCCTTTATATAACTTAACCACTATTGTGTGGGTTGGAGATCAAGGAAATAAAACAAACGGCAACTAAAATACAGTAGATTCAGAAAGTTTAATGGCAATAAATAGACTTTTAATTTTAAAAATAAAGACCAGTTGTGGTCATGCGATTGCATTGTGAAAGAAACGTTGTGGAATCGATCAGAAAAGGTTAATCATCTAGCATATAAGTATTGGTGTGTACTGCAAGGTTCTGGAATCATCCAAATGATAAGAAATTTGGCCCAGTCTTGGTAAAGTTACAAGCACTGTACACAGAAAGATGTATATGGGACTACGCGACACGTGCACGACACATGCGTGACACATGCAGGATATCTATCAGGTCCAAATAGATATAATAATTTACCAAATTAGTAGGCGGTTTTTCAGCAAAATTTGTATGATCACGTATTAGTCAAAACATATAATAAGAGCTTCCATTTCATTTTTTGAGAGAGAGGCGTTTCCAAAACTGATCTTTACCTTTAACATTTTTTACCTCATGAAATTTTGTGAGTAAATTTTGTTTTGATGTTTGTGTCAGGTGCACTTGTATCCTGTATGGGCACGCAATGACGCAATCCTTGCAAATTTCTTGTTAGTTTTATGCAAAAAAATAAAATATAGCACCAGAGAAGATTTTGAAATATTTATAGTGTTAAAGGAAACCAAAACCTTCATACTAAGTTACTTTTATTGTAAAGTTTAAGATATTTGAAAAATATCAGTGAAAATTTGAACAAAATCGGGCAAGGAATAAGGAAGTAAGAGCTTTTTAAAATGACTAGTCACTAGAGGGCGGTATTCAATTTGATGACATCAACTCTCCATGCCTTTTGCAGAGCTGCCAAGTCTCCCGGATGCGTTATTTTTTTATGCGGCACAGATTGGGGCTTTTTTTAAAAAGGGGTCTTGATTTACAGACTAATACTGGTCGTGTGCGTACTAGACAGTATAAGTAGAGGTCAGTTTTTAATAGTGTTATATTTAATCCACTACCGCATGGAAAATCATTACATCAACAATTAAAATCAAATTGGAAATCTGAAGAGGAGGCAGCACGTCAATAAGGAGAACATCACAATAATTAGTCAATAAAACTTAACTAATTTAAACGAAGAGGAATGTTATCTAAACACATAGTTCGCGATAGATATACAAACTTCTTCGCAGCGCTAATGCGCTAGCTATAAACATGACTAGTCTCACGTACGTGCAGACACTATTCAGAAGGGAAAGAACGTACTTCCCATAGGTTTAACACGCGCCATGCCCCAATCTGTGCCGCATAAAAAAATAACGCCTCCCGGATCCTGCGGGAGACTCCCGGATTTTGACCCAATATCCCGTTTTCCCGACCCCATGCAAAAATCTCCCGGATTTCCAGATTTTAAGTTGTATTATTTTCACAAACGACTGTTTCACAAGACTAGCATGTTGAGTTCGTACGTACGTATACAAACAGGTCAACACATGGCAATTCTGTAATATGAATTTTCCTGTTATCCAGTCGTCGAATATAAATTTACCGTGATATCGTACTTTATTTAACAGCGTAATAAATGAGAGTTACGCCGAACGACTGGCGGGCTAGTCTAACAAACCATTGGGAACATGTGATAATGTGAGTGGTGTTTGTGTGATAGCAATTCGCCTGCTTGCTCTGCCGGGCGGCTTCCTCGCCGGCCCCCGTAGCGTCCCGGTACGTTGGTGCCGGTTTCCAATCGGTCGCGTCAGAGCAGCCAGAAGTTGCACTGATACAACAAGCAGACTTTGTCTGCTGCGATCGGCCCAAAAAACTGCACATTTGAACATCAGTTTTTGGATTGATTTGGGGACTTTTGCGATGTGATTTTTAAGTGGATTATCATTTGATACCAACATGGCAGTGTTACTGCAGAGTGGATTTTGAAGCCGACTTTTTTTTTCTGATCTCCTTTGCCGTTGGGAACGCATCGATATAACTTGCATCTTCCGAAGGCGTAAGTCAACTTTGTCCAAAACAAGGCTGTATTTTGTTTGACTATTAAAATATCATCCAGGACAATGTCGAAGTCGAAATATTATCAGAAATATAAAGATGACTACCACTTGGAATGGCCTTGTGTTGGGAAATCTACGAAAGGCGAATACTACGCATTTTGTACAGTTTGCGGCGCAGATATCTCCATCAAGAGTGGGGGAAGAAATGATGTATTTCGCCACATCACATCTGACAAACACAAGCAAACCGCGAAATCAAGGGGCAATACAAAAGGAATACAGAGCTTTTTCAGGTTAGTATGAA